ACAAGTTCTCTAATTTTTTCCACACGCAATAGTTTACTACTGATACCATTCATTTTTCTCTATTGTTTCTTCTTCTTCTTATTTTATTTATTTATTTATTAATTTATTTAGGATAGTTTTTTTTTTGCTATAGGGTGCGTGCGCTCGCCAGACAGAGAGAGACAGAGAGATAGAAAGCGAGAAATCACCCCCCAGGGGGGATCCTTTCTCCACTATTCTCCTCTTGGGATCTTGGGTACGCACACACATGCGCCCAGCGTGAGTTTTAAGCCACCAGGTTCTGGACGCGAACCGCAGTCGACTACATGGGAGTCCAGCGACGTAGCCATTACGCTAACTGCTGTTCCCTCTCTATTGTTTCTTAAGTAATTCAATTTTTTAAACTCTTGCTTAAAAATGTTGTGTGCTTTTGAATTTTTATCTTTGTGAGGCCTTTCTGAAATTGGTTGATTCATAAGGCAAAGCCAATAGAATAAAATCAACAAAAAACACAAACCATAACTAAAATATGTTTATGTATGTGCATATGATTTAATTGTATAAAAGATGTCAGACATTGTGCATTAATGAGTTTTCTGTTTCTCTCTTTCATTTTTTTAAATAAGGTTTTTGTCATAGGGCATGAGTGCTCACTGGAGAGAGACAGAGAGCGGGGGGAAATGAGAAATCATCCCCAAAGGGAGTATAGACACACCACAATCCCTTCTCCTCCATTTTCCTCTTGGGATTTTGGGCACACGCACACATGCACTTGGTATGATTTTCAAGGTGTTGGGTCTGGGATTCTCACGGTGGTAGGCCATATGGGAGTTCAACACCTTATCCACTACAGCACCTGCTGCTGGACCCTCTGTTTCTCTCTTAAACAAATAAAGAAATTAGCTACTTAACCGCTAGCTTCCAAAGATAAGTTAGTGCAACAGGTGGTGTGGTACCTAAGGCGCTGAACTCTCAGATGGCCGACCGGAGTCTGAGTCCTAGACCTGGAGGCTTTCTTTCTCACTTTCCCTCTCTGTCTGTCTATCTCTGGTGAGTGCATGTGCCCTATAGCAAAATTAATAATAA